TTTTTTTTTTTTTTTTTTTTTTTTTTTTTTTTTTTTTTGCTGCTTGACTGCCTTTGACTCACTTTGTAGACCAGGCTGGCCTCAAATTCACAGAGATCTGCCTGCCTTTGCCTCCCAGACTGCTGGGATCACAGCCCTGTGCCACTGTGCCCTGTTTCTTAAACAGTTTTAAATTCACGAGAAATGCACCGTTAAATTAGTAAAATATAGACATTATATATGGGATATTTTTCACATACTTTGAATCATTTAAAACATGAGAGATCAACAAATGGTGCTAGTCTAACTGGATGTCTACATGTAGAAAAATGCAAATAGATCCATACTTATCACCCTGCACAAAACTGAAGTCCAGACACATTAAATCGGTTAGAAGAAAAAGTGAGGAAGACCCTAGAACTCATTGGTACAGGAGACAACTTCCTGAACAGAACACCAACAGCACAGGCTCTAAGAGCAACAATCAATAAATGGGACCTCATGAAACTGAAAAGCTTCTGTAAAGCAAAGGACACCATCATCAAAACAAAACGACTGCCTACAGATTGTGAAAGGATCTTCACCAACCCTTTATCTGACAGAGGACTAATATCCAGTATATATAAAGAACTAAAGAAGCTGAAAAGCAGCAAACCAAGTAATCCACTTAAAAAATGGGGAACAGAGCTAAACAGAGAACTCTCTGTAGAGGAATATCGAATGGCAGAGAAACACTTAAAGAAATGCTCAACGTCATTAGCCATTAGGGAAATGCAAATCAAAACAACCCTGAGAATTCACCTTACACCCATCAGAATGGCTAAGATCAAAAACTCAAGAGACAACACATGCTAAAGAGGTTGTGGAGAAAGGGGAACCCTCCTCCACTGCTGGTGGGAATGTAAACTTGTACAACCACTCTGGAAATCAGTCTGGCACTTTCTCAGACAACTAGGAATAGCGCTTCCTCAAGATCCAGCCATACCACTCCTAGGCATATACCCAAAAGAGGCGCAAGTACACAATAAGGACATTTGCTCAACCATGTTTGCAGCAGCTTTATTGTAATAGCCAGAAGCTAAAAACAGCCCAGATGCCCCTCGACTGAATAATGGATGCAGAAATTGTGGTACATCTACACAATGGAGTATTACTCTGCAATGAAAAATAAGGAAATCATGAAATTTGCAGGTAAATGGTGGGAACTGGAAAGGATCATCCTGAGTGAACTATCCCAGAAGCAGAAAGACACATATAGTATATACTCACTCATAGACATATAACATAGGATAAACCTACTAAAATCTATACATCTAAAAAAACTAATCAAGAGAGAGGACCCTGACTAAAATGCTCAATCCCCATCCTAAAAGGCAAAGAGGATGGACATCAGAAGAAGAAGAAAACAGGAAACAACCTAGGAACCTGCCACAGAGGGCCTCTGAAAGGCTCTGCCCTGCAGACTATCAAAGCAAACGCTGAGACTTATGGTCAACTGTTGAGCAGAGTGCATGGAATCTTATGTAAAAAGTGGGAAAAAGTAAGAGCTGGAGAGGACAGGAACCCCACAAGGAGAGCAACAGAACCAGAAAATTTGAACACAGGGTCTTCCCAGAGACTCATACTCCAACCAAGTACCAGGCATGGAGATAACCTAGAACCCCTGCACAGATGTAGTCCATGGCAGTTCAGTGTCCAAGTGGGTTCCATAGTAATGGGAAGAGGGACTGCCTCTGACATAATCTGATTGGCCTGCTCTTTGATCACCTCCCCCTGAGGGGAGAACAGCCTTACCAGGCCACAGAAGATGACAATGCAGCCACTCCTAATGAGATCTGATGAATAAGATCAGAAGGAAGGAGAGAAGGACCTCCCTTATCAGTGGAGTTGGGGAGGGGCATGCATGAAGGGGGAGGGAAGGAGGGACTTATGGGGGGATACAAAGTGAATAAAGTATAATTAACTAAAAAAAAAACCTTACGTTATTCGCATATTCTCCTCTGATATTTTCTAACAGTTTTACGTGATTAAATCATGTTTATGGAAAACAAAACAAAACAAAACGTGAGAATATTTTTCTTTGCTGAGAAGCAATCAGGAGTTATTTAAATAGCCGTGTCCAGAAGTCACTGATTATTAGTGCAAGGCTTTAAGCTGGTCAAGGTGTGCACACCTCCTTTAATCCCAGAATTCGGGAGGCAGAGGCAAATGAATCTCTCTGTGTTCAAGGTAAGACTGTCAACATTCTAAGTTCCAGGCTGGCCAATGATACAGAGAGACCCTGTCTCAAAAAACAACAAATAGAACAAGGCTTTATGCATTAAAATTCCTTCATTCTCTGAATTTCCCCCTTTAAGAGTTTGATGCTCAGAGCTGTGACAGGCAATACAGCATTTATACAGAAACCCTGATTTAATACATCAGTGTATCATAAGATGAGCATGTGACAATCCAAGAAGGCTCTTATGAACCTACAGATCAGCCCAAATGTGGTGGTGAATACCTATAATCCCAGAACTCAGAAGACAGAGGCAGGTGAATCTCTGTGAGTCCCAGACCAACAAAAAATACCCAGTGAGACCCTGCTGCAAAACTAAAAAGAAAAAAGACCTCATGGAGAAGTCAAAGCTTGGTCCCTCAAGAACAGCAATGTTTAGATTCAGTGAAACTTGGCCTGCCGTGTGCCCAGCACTAGGTTTGACCCCAGGACTGAAAAACAAAGTGCAATAAACATAGCTAAGAGGCAGACGCAAGAACAGTGGAGCTCTGAATACTAGGCTGCCTAGAGGAGATCCGAACTGTTGTATTTGAGGGGTTTTATCTGGCTGGCTTGTCGGGGGTGGGGGGGAGGGTTGGCAGATCTAGGGACTAGCTTAGAACTTTGTACACGTACAACTTCTCAACCACTGAACCATATCCCCAGCCAAGGTCCTGACTTTAAGCAGGCATCTTAGGAGGGGGTTCGAGCCACCTTTCCTGGAGAAGTGCAGCTACCATCCTTCATCAAAGACACTTCTGTTACTGAAGATGGAGACCACCACAGCCAACCACAACTGGACACAGCAGAGATCAACAGAGCATGGAGAGGCCAGCCCCAGCAGGCACATCCACAGCACAGCTCCTGCATCTTTGGTTCAGGGGACATCATGGAACAGGGGGCAGCAAGAGGTAAGAGCCAGGACACCAACAAGTCTGAGGTGACCGTCTCTCCTAGAATGGCTGCATAAGCAAGACCAGAATAACAGAAGGGTCAATGGACATGTCCACGTGGAAGGGAGAAAATTTCGGAGAACTACACACAGCCAATGACTGCTAGGAAAATTAGCCTCTCCCAGGAATAAGTCCGTTATTGACTGTCCAAAGCAGAGCGGCCAGCCCTGCTGTGCACATGCACACACACGTAACAAGAACAATCAAAGAAAAGGAGGCTGTCAGCTCCGAGGAGACATCAGAGGGGTTCAATGAGGGTGGCTGAGAAGGACTAAAGGGAAGAGGGAAAGTGACATAATTATATTTCAATTTAAAATGTATTTTCAAACAAGAATTAGGAAGTTAAAATTGGGCCCAGGTACCAGAAACAGCCAGAAGGACTGGATTCTAACACTGACTCCAAGGAGCTAGAGACCTAGCTCAATATTTTAAAGACTACTTGCACTAGTCATGGGTTCAAAACCCAGCCAGCAAAAAGCAGGAGTATGATTCCAATATGCATCAGCCCTGAGCCTCTAAGCAAATATCAAAACCTTCTCCTCTCAGTTTCTTTCCTGGTGTGAAAGACAGCATTCCCTCAAAGCTGTGCCAGATAAACAGTGAGCACTCATGTGAGATGAACTGAAATGACACACTGCTATCTACAACACTAAACATAATGTAATTTTCAGTCAAAATATTTGCTGTTTAATTCATAGAAGAATGAATCTGTCAAGTTCTTTCCCTACAGCTAACCTAAATCTATTCTGTTCCAATTAAAGTCTGTATTGCCTTGTTTAGTGATCCACAGAATTAAAACGGACAACTTTTCATTCTCTTAATGATAAAAAAGGTTTAATATGCTTATGCCTCAGCCTTTAATCCTTCCTCCTTGGCATCTAGTTTTATATGAGGAAAAGAAGTCGAAAGACAGAGGTGGGGCTGGAGAGATGGGCTGAGGGATTAAGAGAACGTGTTAAGGGAACCCAGGTTCACTTCCCAGCATCTACACAGTGGTTCACAACCATCCAAAACTCCATTCCAGGGAACTGACCTCACGGGCAGTCCACGCAATACATGGTACACATACACCCATGCAGGCAGAACACTCACAAATACAACGGAGCGCGCACGCGCGCGCGCACACACATATACACACACATGCCTCGTAGCAGTCTGTGACATGATTAACTCACTGGGAATCCTGTGTTTCCTCCCTGATTTGCTTCATAAGGTGCTAACAGAACATTATCCTCCAACTAACTCTACTCATTGCAATAAAATGGTGGGAAATGGTCAGATTCTAGGGCACCCTGAGCAAGGCCAGCCCCAAGGCAAGCATCACCTTCATGGCAGGTTGGAAGGCTACTCCACAGAACAGCAGGAAGCCAGGTATCAGCACATCCTCTTCTTCAGAAAAGACATTCTGCTACCAAGGTCCAGACATTTTGTACTGGAAAACCTATTTGTGTACACGAGGCTGACACATGAACTTGTGACCTGAGATGTGTCGATTTTCCCAGTGTCACCAAACTGACAGCTCACAATCCTAGCTTCCCAACAGCTCCTCCACACTAAGGATGAAATTCCAACATACTTCAACTCTCACAGGGGCTCATTTAATAGACACTTAGCAACGTTGTGTGGGCACCAAAAGTCAGTTGAAAGAGCTGGACCAGCAGTGACAAGGCACTGTTAGTATAAACTCTTCACTTTCTCACCCAGTGAACACAAAGAAGCCAGAAGGGAGGAAAGCCGCAATCCACTGTCATACCTCTGCACTCCAGTAAACTTTCCACCATATAAGGAAGCTTCCTGAGAGTTCAGGTCTGAGACTAGAATTCCCTTTTTATTACGATAATAAATGGCCAGAAATATGAATATCATAAAAACCGCAGGGAATTTTACTTCTATTAGAAAATGGAACTTGAGCAATTTTAAGTTGACAGCTGAGCTTGAGGGTTTTTTAGTGCCTCTTTATACTAATACAGCTTTTATCTTATTAGGAAGCAACTACTGAGGGCAGAAAAAATTAAATGAAAGCACAAAACTCTAAAAAATAAAACATTTGTCAGCTTATTTTCCATTAAGTCTGTACATCTAATTTAGAAAATAGCGGGCTTACACCAGTAGTGGCTGGGTTTGGGAGAAGACAATCTGGCCTTTGGAACCTGACTCTTTTTAATTGCTTGCATTTATTTATTGGGAGTGTGGGGGAGGGGCACACGTGGGCCGTAGCATATGTGTATAAAACCTGCAGTTCACTCTTTCTCTCCCTCTACTATGTGGGTCACAGTGATGGAACACAGGTCACCAGGCTTACTGGCCTTTATCTGCTGAGACATCTTAACATCCCAAGTATGTTTCTCCTAGACAAATTTAAAGTTACCATTTACTATAGCATTTTTGGTAGATAGCACAATAGAAAATCAAATTTTCTGCCCCAAGGTACCAACAAATACTCTCCACTTGTTTAACTCCTATCTGAACCCTGTAAGCTGCTCCTGTCAAACCACGCCTCCCTCTTCGGGCGGCTACTGCCTATTCTTTGCGTGGCTGATTTCCTACCTTTTCAGAGGCTCTGCCTGACTATCCCAGCTCAAGTACGATTCCCAACAGCCCTAACCACCTACTACATCTCAGCCTCCCAATGGACTTACTCACAGCACTTATGCCACTTGTGTTAAAATATGACTTCTTCCCTCTCCCTCTCAAACCAACTGTCAATGCCAAGAGCAGAGACTGAATCTGTCTTGTGTCCTGGTGCTCCCACATCTGACATAGCAGCTAGCTAGCACCATAATAAACATTCAAATACATATCACTGAATGAATGTAATGATTCCAAAGGCACCACAAACTGCCCAGGGACATTCATTCGGGAAGGAGACAGAAGGCCCTGAAAGCTTCTAACCTGCTGTGACATCATTTCTCTGAGTCTTACCTATTGGATCATAGTGCAAAAGGGTCAGCTTCTCTCGCTGGCGGCTTCTCTTGTGGTTAAAGCCGAAACCTGTCCCGGCTTGGCTCACCAGTCTCACCAGAATGGTTCTAGGATCAAAAAGTACACCGTTACAAGCGGAGGAAAACACTGGGCTGCCAGGAACACACAGCACACTTGGCTGGGGAGTCACAGCAGCTGTGAGGTCACTCGGCCCTGAGAATGGTCCGTGCTGGGACAGTCTCCATTTCCCACAGAACAGTTTCAATGGCTCTGAATCCCAAGGCAGTCACCTACAGTAACCTGATAACACCCTCGCCAAAACAGTGAGAGTGATCAAGCCACATCAGAGAACAAGCCTCTGACGTCACCTCTCACAAGGAGCAGAGGTCAGGTGGGAGAAGATGCAAGAATACTGGTAGTCACAGCTGGCACGTGCCGCAAGCCTGAGGATGGCTGCCTCAGAGCCATTCTTCCAAAATGACTGACAGCAACACAGTCCAGAAGGGATAAAATTAACAAGTCTAAAGTTTTATATCATTAATGTACAAGCCCTGGCCACTTCATATTTCATTTAAATTAGTCATCTAAACCATAAAACTCAGTATTTGCCTCCCTAGACCTTTGAATACCAGTTCTGTTACTTTCCCATATGTATGTGTTGTCTCTGTCTCTCCTCAAAGACACATTTCTCAGGCCATTCCAAAACCTATCTGAAGCAGTTAAGACATTACATGTAGGCATGGTGGCTTACGTCTATATTCCCACCACTCTGACGGCTGAGACAGGAGGATTTCTGTTAATTAGGCTGAAGACCAACCTGAACTACAGAATAAGATCCTGTCACAAAACACAAATAACGCCAAAAAGACATTACGCATCCATGTTCAGAACTGTGCCTCTGAAGACCACAGTATCTGCTGATGAAACAAGACAATGTTGCCAGATCTGGTGGTGCAGGCCAATAACCCTAATTCCTCAGGAGGCTGGAGCAGGAAGTTCACAAGTTCAAGGCCAGCCTGGGCAACTCACGGAGAACTTGTCTGAAAACTTAGAAAGACAAAAGGAGGACTGGGCAGAATTTATCAAGAGAGCATTTGCCCAGCATGGCCCTTGGTTCAACCAGTACTGGAAGGGGAAAAGAGAATTACATAAGTAACACAATCATTCATTCATTCACATAGTCAACAAATCTCTATGGGGTTCTTACTCTACAATAAGCATAAAACTAAGTCTGCATCCTTGAGGGGCTAAAACTATGGCACAGAAGATGAAGGGCACATACGGCCAACAAGGCATACACAGGTCTGGCCTCCCTGTCCTAGTGTTTAGCTCTGCAATTTTCCTAGTGCTTAGACTGATTTCTATAAACAGGCTGCAGGTTTTAATCAAATCAGAGCACATGTGAAAATTTCTGCAGAGGATCAAGGCGAAGGCTTCTTGGTCCAAACAGAACAACAGCCTGATGGCTTGGTTAGGAGCAAAATAATGACCCGATAAATCCTGAAGTGAGAAAATAAGGGAAAGCCCCTCTACAAAGGGCATGAATAGTCACTGCAGTCACTCAGTGGGACAGGAGAGAAACAGGACAGTCCTCAATTTACGGTTTTCAATTTTACCTCAGCACAAACACAACGCTTTACAGTACAAGAGGCCAGCTTTCCAAATATGCTCTTTTCCCAGGCTAGTAATGGGTATACTTGGGAGAGGCTGGGCAGCAGCTGCCACGGCATCCCAGCCACAACATCGAAAGGGCAAGCAACCAGTTATCCATGCACTGAGGTACTGAGCTGCATGCCTTGTGGTTGTATCTGCAACCTAGGACAGAATTATCAAATGGTATCACCATCATCAATCAATATGCTTCTGTATTTTTTTCCAAGGTGTTCACACTGATAAAATTAACCCCAAATCAACTTTTGGGAAATCACACCCAACACTGGTTTATGAGAAAGACACACTGGCACCACCTAGATTACCAACCCCAACAGGAGTAAGAAAACTTTAAATAAAACAAAAACTTTTACTTACTTTGACTTGCTCTTGGCAACTTTTTTTTTTTTTTTTGCGTTAACAGTTGGAAGAAAAAAAAGAATAGAAAGATATATTTATTATTTTTGTACTCAAAAGTGCTTATAAAGATTAGTGATAACCAAAAACACTTAAAAATATACCCCATTTACACTAAAGTATTTTATGGATATTAGAGTCAATAAAACCAACACCGTTGAATGTTTTCTTTTTTTGTTTTGTTTTGTTTGTATAATCAGTGCAGTTGACTGGCACATTTAAATCTTTCTAAAGCAGTATCCGCTCTATTTCCATCCTTCTATGGTGTAAGTATTTGTACTGTAGCAAGCCTCTCCTCTGAACTTTGCAGGCTGCAGCAGTCACGTGCGGTGGACACGCACTCTAATCAGGAAGTCAGCTAGGAGCCAGGGAACCGGGTATTGCACCGCGGCGGCCAGCGGCGTTTTCTCGGGACGTCCCTACAGAGGGCGCGGAGGGCCCACGGCCTCCTCCTACCGAGACCTGGGAGCCGCGCCGCGGGTGGCAGCTTCCGCACCTGGTCCTCCACCCCGCTGGCTCCACCCCGGGACCCGCCCGTCCGCCTCGGCCCCGCGCCGCAGGCTGCCGCCGCCTCAGACCTACTTACGAGACACGGCGGAAAGCAGCATGGCGTCTCTCCCCTTTTTTCCCAGACCGGCTTAAAGAGCAGAACAACTGCTTCCGGGGCATGAGCCGGTTCCGGTAGAGGGCTAGGGAAGTTCTCAGGAGCCACGCCCTCACCTGGAGCCCTTGAATGCTCCTGGTGGTTTTTTGGTGGCGAGTTTTGTAGTATTATGGGATGGATCTTCCTCTATGCAAAAGATAATACTGCCCAATACCACAAAACCCAGACCTGCCTGCCTCTAAAACCTGGTGCCTTTCCCATTAGACATTGACCTGCCATTTGGGTATGATTAATTTTTTTGTGCCCGTGCAAGGAGCCCTAGCTCCTCCAACACCAGGAACCTCATTGGTAACTTCATCTCCCAATTAATAATCAGGATTTTATTATTTTTGCTGTTGTTGTTTTTGCTTAATTTTGTGTGTTTATAATAATGCTCCCTATTTCATTTTTAAATTTATTCTTAGATTTGTTTATTGTTATGTGTCTGAGTGTTTTGCTTGCATGCATGTGCATGGTGCCTGAGGAGGTCAGAAGAGCACTTAGGATTCCCTGGAAATGGACTGTTGAGGTGGATTTGAGCCACCATGTAGGTACTGGGAACCAAACCCAGGTCCCCTGCAAGAGCAACAAGTATCCATGACGGCTGAGCCATCATCTCTTCTAGCCCTAGTTTTTGTTGTCTTACATGATTGTCCCAATAACTGTGTTAAGCCTACAATGGTATTTCCACTTCCTCTTGAGGAAACTGAGGATAAGAGTAACTTGGCCAAGGTTGCCCAGTCATTAGTGGAAAGTCTAGATCTTGAACCCAAATCTTCAGAATCCAAAGGTTGTGTTTTTAAATATTCAAATATGAGAGGCATGTACTGAGTGCTAGTCTAGCCAAATCAGAGAGTTGTAGGTTCAGTAAAGACCTTGTCTTTAATAAATAAATAAATAAATAAATAAATAAATAAATAAATAGGTAGGTAGGTAGATAGGTAAGATTCAGAGCAAGGAACCTGACATTGACCTAAAGAACCTGTATATAATAAATTAATAAATAAATAAGGTAGAGAGGAAGGACATTGACCTCTGCCCTCCACACATGCACACACACAGTGCACATGTACAAACACACACAACACAGACACACAAAAGAGATAGCATAGGAACTGAATTCTTGAATGAAGTATGAAGGAGACAATGACTTCCTCCTCCCATTAGCTACATCTGCCTGTTATTTACACCTAACCCATTGTTGGGAGCTGGCGAACCAAGCAAGATGGTTACTAATACAGATGTAATTCATAACTTGGTTTTTCATTTCTGTCTGAACGTACAGATTGAGTCCTCTACACCTCATAACGTGCAGAGCAGTAAAGGCAGCCAGAAGGGAAAGGTGTGATTCTGTAAAGAGATCAAGGTCAGCCTCCTGGGGAACTGGAGTGGTGAAGGGAAGAAGCCACTGCTTAGCCTGGCTCTCAACCCAGAGAATTAGGTGGAGGAAGTGAGAATCCACACTGTGTATGGGGTTACACAAAGCGCCTGCCTCCTGTTGGTGAACTCTATATCTGAGTGATGGGCATCAGACCTCTTCTCTGCTGGGAGGGCCCTGACTACACACCATCCAGACCATTGTCACAGATGTGCCCCTCCTGACTCATAGATGGAGCATTTAGCTATTGTTCTTGTCCACGAGGTCAGTGATGCTAGCTCCCTAACCTATCCCACAGGCCAAGGAACGTGGGTACTAGTGGAAGGGAGAGCCCCCCAGGAGAAAGTTGAGTCTCCTGCAAAGAGTACCTGCCCACTTGCCTCCAGACAGACCAAGGCATTTTCAAAATCAGGTCTTCTGCCTCAACAGCTTAGTAGTCAAGCAAAGAATGCTGTGGAGAATGAGGCTGAAAGCTGGGGATATGCACTGGGTTCAATCTGTATGGGCTAGGTATCCTTGGGTTGTCAGTCAACACACCCCCATGATCTGACCTGCCATCATGATTCAGCCCCACATCCCTTTACTGGGGTCTACTACCCTTAGAGAGCATTTCCTGACCCCTATTCGCCCATACTTGCTCCTACTGCCCCATCCCAGAAGCTAGTAGGCTTGTCTGCAGTTTTCCCCCACCCTAAAACAAAACAAAACGAAACCATGGAGTCCAGTTTGTTTGTGTTGGCAAGCTACTCCTGAGCAAGAGGCCTGCCCTGGAGTGTGGTTGATATACCCAGTGTCCCTCTACTGAAGAAAATTGATTTTCTGTCTCCTATCTGTCTCTGACAATTGTCTCCCAACAATTGCAATAGCTTCTTGGTTAGTAGTGGGACTTTGTGCTACTTCCCCTTTTAGAGACTGTGAGAATGCACAAGACCCACACAAGCTCAAGCCAGACAAAATGCCATCCATTCTTAAACTCCCTAGAGCAGGTTTTTTTTTAATTTTATTACAATTTATTCACTTTGTATCCCAGCTGTAGCCCCCTCCCTCATTCCCTCCCAACCCCCACCCTCCCTCCCTCTTCTCCTCCCATGCTCCTCCCCTAGTCCACTGATAGGGGAGGTCCTCCTCCCCTTCCTTCTGACCCTAGCCTATCAGGTCTCATCAGGAATGTCTGTCTAGCCTTCCTCTGTGGCCTCATAAGGCTGCAACCCCCCACACACACACCCAGGGGAAGGTGATCAAAGAGCCAGCCACTGAGTTCATGTCAGAGACAGCTCCTGTTCCCCTTACTAGGAGCCCATTAGGAGATTGAGCTTCCATGGCCTACATCTGTGTAGGGGTTCTAGGTTATATCCATGCTTGGTCCTTGGTTGGAGTGTCAGTCTCAGAAACGATCCCTGGGCCCAGATTTTTTGGTTCTGTGAGCAGTGGTTCTTAAATTTACTAATGCTGTCACCCTTTCATACAGTTCCTCACCTTGTGGTGAGCCCCAGCCATAAAATTATTTCATTGCTACTTCATAACTGTAACTTGGCTACTGTTGTGAATCGTAATGTAGATATCTGATACTCAACCCCATTGAGGTTGAGAACCACTGCCCTGGAGGGTCTGAGGTACAGGCAAAATTGAACTCTACTGAGGGGAATCCATGAATTCTGGGTTGCCTAGTAGGCCCTAAATTGAAGGTGTGTCCATTGAGTTTGTTTTGGATGATGAGCCACCCTTATCTGGGTAGGCATAGTAGGGGAGAAAGTAGCCAACTTGGGGGGTGAGGAGGAATGAGGAAGTCTTGAGCTATAAGCAAAGAGAAAGGTGTTCACCTACATTCCAGAAGGCTCTGGGACAATTAGCAGAGGCCTAAGACAGAAGAGCAAAACCAGGAAGTTTACCTGCTACCAGAAAGATTAATGGAGGCCCTGCAGACAACGCCCTTCCCACCCACATATTTCACCCTCCACAGAAGAGCTAGAAAGGCTCTGACAGAAACAGTCTTGGGAAAGTCAACACATTTGGCCTGATTGGTGGGTGATGGATGGGAGAGGACTGTGGGTACTGAGGTAAAGCATCTGAAAGGGTGGGGAGGTTAAGGGGGAAATGGGCCAAAATCCACTTGGAGGAGACAAAGGGTGGAAACTGGTCAGAGACAGGCATTCCTGCCATGGGTGGGAAGCCGGGCAGCAGGGCAGCTACTGGAGAGGCATTGGGTGGAAACGAACCGCACACAGAGATAGCTGACTCTGCCTTTACCAGCCCTGAAGTTCCCTAGATTTCACATTTTTTGAGGGATAGGAAATGTACTGGGTTTTAAATTTTTTCTTTCTCTCTTTTGGTTTCTTGTTGTTTGTTAAGTTGGTTGCTTGCTTTTATTTTCTGTGTTGGTTGGTTGATTGGTTGGTTTTTTGAGACAGGATCTCACTAGGTATACTTTGTTGGCTTGGAGCTTTCTATGTAGACCAGGTTGGCTTTGAACCCACAGAGATCCTCTTGACTGTGCCAAAGAATACTGGGATTTAAATGCCTTTGCCTACAGAGCCATTCTACAGTCCCAGATTAACAGGGTTTTGGCTTTTTGGTTTGTTGGGTTTTGTTTTTTGTTTTTGTTTTTTGGTGTTTTTGTTTTGTATGTTCGTTTTTTGTTTTGTTTTGTTTCGGTTTGTTTTGTTTTGTTTTGTTTTGGTTTGGTTTGTTTTGGTTTGGTTTGGTTTGGTTTTGGTCTGGAGCTCTCAAACTAAGCTAGACTGGCTAGCTAGCAAGAGACAGGATCTACGTGTCTCTGACTGCCCAGGGCAGGGTTTACAGGCACACACCACCACGTCTGCTTCTTTCTATATGGTTCTTGCGCCTTTCCCCTGGAAGCTTGATTTGGTGACACAGTGCCAATCCAATTTAAGAGAACTAAAACTGGGCTTTAATTCTCAGGAGAGATGTCTGAACTTCCGATTTTCCTGCCTCCACTTCCCCCAGTGCTAGAATTGGAGGGGAATTTAATGAGCCTCACTCTGTAGTGGGATTTGTGTGGTATTTCAGTGGAGCCCATGACCCACAGTTGCCTGTCATCAGATGAGCTCTGCAGCCACCTCCACTGTGAAGTTCCCTGAACCTAGAAAGAGCCCTTGTATGATACCCCTCAATGCCCCTCCTCACCACCCTCAGCAGTCTGGACAGCTGGCCCTGTCCCTCGCCAGCTGCAGAAGGTAGGCCCTGAACCTCACCTGGACAGCACCTGATGGAGGGGGCCCAGGTAAGCCAAGTGGGAGAGTGTGGGAGAGCTGACCCAGCTACTTGTCTACTGTGAGTGTGGGAGTGGCCCTCCCTCCTCCCACCTCACCACTCACTGGGAGTCTGGGAGAGCTGGCCTCAGAGCCTTGAGAACAGCTGAGCTGGCCCTGTCCCTCAATGGCTGCAGAGTAGAAGACAGAGGTGGATAGGGGTTTCTCTCTGTTTTAGTTATGCTATAACTGTGGGCCCAATACAGTGTCTGGTGTACAACAGTTGTTCAATAAATACCTATTAAGTAGAGGGACAAGTTAAGGGTCAGTTTTATGGTCCAGAATGTGAGGTCACTATGGGGCCAGCCACCACCATGACTTGATGTGAACTTCTGATGTTAACCTTCTGCCTAAGGCCAGGCTGGTCCTGATG